CGTCTTTTAAATTACCCATACTGAGAGATGTCAAGTGTTTTTCTCCCGCACAACACTGCGTATGAGTCATTGCGAGCCGAAGTCGAATAATGCCTGCACAGCCATAACTGGGAGGAGTGTGAGACAGTGTGCCAACAGCTGCACGCAAAGCCTGCACAGTAATAAAAGAAATTCAACTTACAACAACGGGCCCGCAAAATGCTCAAAATGTTCAGATTACTCATACGCCCAGTGAGCCAGGCAGTGCCAAAGTTCCGTTTAATTGCTGAATTGCCTAATAGCCATATTTATGTGTAGATACATATGTGCACACACGTAGCTACCCATATGTACAACAGTAGAGCATCGCTGTGGTAGCCCGGTGCGCAATAGCAAAATGAGAATTACTCCAGGCGAGCTTGTACGAACCACTCCAGCCAAATCTGAGTTGCGTCCGTCCTGCAGTCCAAATTGATTACAAGCCACACATAGCCAACAATATGTGCCATTGGTCCATTCAAATGCGAGATGAGCTTTGTGATGCAAAGTCAGAAAGCTGACTTAGGCTGCGTCAATGAATCTACCTAGTTCTTCAAATTAGCAATCCCTCAAGTGGCTGAAGAAGTGTGCTTGACAGTTTTTTTTGTCCTCCTAAGAACATCAGTGTAACATTTCGATGGGACCAATTGTATAATCAATTTTTCTAATTCTACCTTACCTTACTAAAATTTTTTGACTTGAAAATTTAATTGACTTTATAGATGCTTTAAAATAGAGCTGCACAAAATTCCAAAATTCAACGTTTTTCAAAACAGAATAACTTAATTTTTATAATTTTTTAATTTGATAAATTTGATAAATTTTTTTTGCAAAGACTGCCTCTTCCTATAAGCAGATGATTTGTTAAAGTAAACCCATACTTGCTACATGATTGCATGATAATGCCGATTCTCCATCTAATTCAATAATCAGTGCACCGCTCAGAATCTATTTGTTTATTTTTTATTTAGTAAGCTTGTCTTAGTTTAAGTAATGTTGAAATAGTTCAAATATTTGTTTGACTCTAGGTACTAAATTGATTTCTATTATTTATTTGCTTATCACTTTTGTAAACGAATTCTTTGTTTAGTGCGTAAAATTGATTTTTCATTGCAAAAAAAAAATGTGCTCAATCAAGTAAAAATAACACTACAATGTGAGTTAGAATAGATTAGAAAGATTATACACTAAAATAACTGCATTAAAATAATTGAAGATTCAATGCAAAGTTTTCAATTTGTTGGATGCTTACTGTCTATACGTGTATATGCATCGTTTGACTAGCGATGAGCTCACATGGCGTATGCGTAATGTGCTGTACAAATACACTATTGTTAATTGTGCTTTTAAACATTTGTACTGGCAATTAGCTGAGTATGGCGCGGCTGCGGCTTCCCCAAAACGAATAACAGCGCAAAATATCATGATACCTACATACATACTATACATATACGTGTCAATACATACAAACAAAGATACTAAGGTATACCAAAAACTGGTTAGCGGCGTCGGCGCCTGCGCAAAAGCGCGTGTAACCAGTTTTAAACTAAAGCAAATAAAATGAAGCAAAGTTTAAAAAAAAATATATAGGAAAAAGAAAACGAACAAGAAGAAGAAGCTGTTGGCAAAGAGTATGCGGCCACTGACGATGATGACGACGAAACTGTTGCCGATTTCCCCAGCTATTGCTGTTGTTGTGGCTGCAACAGCTCTCTGCTTGTTGCACTTTTTGTGCTTTGATGCGCTTGTTTCCGCTTTGAACGACGACAATCATGATAATGATGATGATGATTATGGCGATGACGATGACGATGACGATGACCGCAAAGCAACTTGGCCGCCTGTCTGCCATGTGAGTTTCTGGCGTCGCCAACAAGTCGCGTTCATAAACAAGTGCACACCACACTACACGGCAGGCAGCAGGTGGTAAAATAAAACTGAGGCTCAAGCTGAAACTGAGGCTGAAACTGAGGCTGAGACTGAGACTAAGGCTGAGGCTGAGGTGGTTAAGGCGCAGACACAGGCGGCGGCTTTTGCCGCTTATTCTTGCTGAATGATGCGTGCAAGCGTGCGATCGTTCCACGTTTTTACCTGCCTGTCTGCCTGTCTGTCTGCCTGTCTGCCTGAATGCTTCATGCCTGACTCTGACTCTGACGCTGGCTCTGACTTTTGTACCGCCATAAATTGCTGCGTGTGGTGCTGCTCTCTGCTGTGTGCCTGGTCGCCGCTTTAATTTGCATGCAATTTTTTGCCCGCTATACACTATATATAGTATGTATAAGTACGTACACGTATACACACATACATACTACACTTGTACACTGCACACCCGGGACTCTCGCTTGTCATCCAATCATTGCATATTTACCGGCGACCCTGTGAGACTTATCGCCTCTTCACTCAATTGCTTAAGCCAAAGCTTATCGCGGTTTGTACAAAGTACAATGCTTTAAAAGATTATGCACACACATACACACACACACACTTGTAGACTCACATCAGCAACGCTACTATATGGAGTGCATTTTTAGATGATAAGTGAGACGATTTCAGTGCACTGGACAGCCAGTCCATTGAATGTTTTATAATTAGTTTTTCTACACATGCTTATCAAATGTCTATACCATATTGTGCTTGCCAATTGCGCAAGCAATTTCAAATCTCAACAACAATTGTTGCTCCCAGCACTGCTCGGTAAAAAGCACGTCATTTGAATGCTACAATGTAATCGAAAATTCTTTATTTACGCATGCACAATAGCGGTCAACCGAGTAGACACACTTCCTTATTTTCTTCATCATTAAATTCAGAAAATTAGTTCAAGACAGCATCATCAGCAAGCGGGAATGTTGCTTCAAATTTTATGATGAATTAGTTTCATACTAAGCTCAAATAATCAAAAGCGCAGCATTCTAATCGATATTGGCAATCATGGATATGTATTCAGACTTAAGTCGATCAACCATATTGAAAGCTATTAGAAATTGCATAACTTCTGGAGAATTGATATTATTAAAAACATCCGTGCATCGAAAGTAGATCTAAAGTGAAGAATTTTTTGTTACGGAACTTCAGACGTTATATATTGATGTAGCCCGGGAAATGATATTTGACTCTATAACCATACCAAGCCAAGTAGAGTCAATATTTATTTCGCCAAGGTCAGGGAATGGACTTAACGGCTTCTAAAAAAGGGAATACAAAGACATTGATTTTAATTATTTTTGTTTAACGTAAAGTTTTGTACGATAAAAATTTTTTCGAATTTTACGAGTAAGTCAAGGATATATTGGGCGCTTTCAGCAGGTCGTAGCGATTTGCGATTTGTGATCGATCATTACAAATTTCACCTGCTGACCGCTGTGATTTATGATTTGGATAAGTAAAAATGTCAATCGAAATCACAAAACAAAAATCGAGAAAATATTATGATTACTTAATTTAGATTTTTCGATTTTGGCACTACATAGCCAGAATTAGGTCGAGACCTTTGCGGAAATATATAAAATGGCAAAATGCACCCCAGCAAGCTGTGACTTTTTGACCAAAAATCCTAAAATCAGATTATTTGATTAAAACAGTCGACCGCTTGTGGGTCGGCAGAGGCAACTCAACAATCGATAATCAAAAATCACAAATCGCACATCGCTACGACCTGCTGAACGCGCCCAATGTTGTTTAAATAAATGAGTATTATACTAAAACTAATACTAAAACAAATCATTTGCTATTCAAAGTCGTATATATCGTAGATCTCTTCGATTGAAAATGTAATATATTTCACGCATTAATTATTAATTATTTTTAGTGTCCCAAAATGTCAAAAGCCACCTTTAATACATCAATCCAAAGTGGAGCTTGATACCCTAAAATCTCTATTTAATGTTTTTATTTGAGTGGATTTATATTTTCATCAACGCTAGTATAAACAAACATTCAAGCAACATTTTTAAAATCAAGCAGTGCGCATTTGTTATGTTCAAAAACTAAATAAAGAATTAGAAAACTACGTATTTTTGGTTCCAACAAAACAAAAATACTTCGAGGGAATTTCGCCACATTTCGCGAGTGCTGCGATTTATTTTTAACACATCTATGAACTTTCTTTGGCGTAGACAAATTCTTCACTCACATTTCGCACAAGTGCTTAAAAATTTAACAAAAAGGAAGTTTTTAAAACGCACACACACACCTTTGGCTAAATATAGAAGCGACTGTGGCGCTGTAAACATTTCGCAGAAATGGTTTCTTTGCCGTACCTGCCCCCTCCATGGTCAGTCGCTTGCTCATAGAAAATGGCAAAAATTTTAATACTTTATTGACTGGATTGTTGCCATGAATACAAATATACGTATATGCCATATAACACATTGTACATACGTATGTATGTGTGGTTGGAATTTTCTTGGCCGCGCATTTGACGTCGCAAAATATGAAATGTCAGTGGCAATGCGTGGGGCCGATTGGAATAAATAAATAAAAGTGTAAATACTAGTATGTAGTACGAAACAAACATAGGAAATAACTATTTACATAAAAAATACGTCTATGAATTCCTTTGATATCTGTTTCAGAGACAAATAGCAATGAAAACCCAACACAAATGTTTGATATTGATAATTGTGTTGAGTTAAGATAATTGCATTTTATTACTCCCGCAATGGGCGAAATTAAAAGTCGGTGTTTATCTATCCATGATAATTCCTAGTACACCACAATGCATGATTTAAATTAAGTAATAGGGCAGTTACTATCTAAAAAGCAGTCCCTAATAAGTATGTGGAAGTATTAACTAAAAGCATGAAGAAAACATTAACATAATTTGAATAGACTAAACTCTTATAAGCAAATTTGTTAAGATATTTGGTTAGCCCTTCTACTAAATATTGATCTATAGTTTTCCACTTAGCTTACATATAAGACTATCATTAAAATTACTATAAAACATGTATATAATAGTTCATTTCCTTTTTCTTTTGCAGAATCCACGGTTAATTCTCGCAAGTCCGCCTTGGAAATGTCGCGGGAGAAACTCAAGGGTAAGCTTCAAAATAACAACTTCGGGCGCTCCTACTGCCATCAACAACAAGCAATTAGTATATCTTTTGAAATCGGTTATTTGTTTGGTCAACTTTGATTAGAATCGAATTTAGTTACCTTGACACACAATGGTATTTATTTTCAGTTTCGTAAATTCTTAGCGCGCTGACTCACAGGGAATGTCTTGTTCATACAAAACTAATATGCTTGATTTGCCAGTCAATCAGTCGCCGCAATAAATTATTAATATCTGTATTGTCACACATGTAAACACATCCGTGACCTTTGTGGCCGATGCAGCTGCAACTCTGACCAGCACAGAAGCTCTACATTGATATGAATGTACAGATACGAATATACTATATGTGTATATATATGTCATACTTTAATGTGTGTGTCTCGCCCCCACACGCACTCTCTCACACGCCTGTAGTAAGTCTAATGGAGCTTAAGGCAGCTATTAAGCTCTACTAGGTTCTATTTAAATTGTGTATATATATATACTTGTATATATATGAAAATATATGTATGATGTATGTATAAATAAAAGCTGTGTGTCCGCTTAAGCATTGCATGCTGATAAAAGCGATGGCGTGATTCATGACAGAGTACACGCAATCGCACAGGCACATACACACATACACACAGATATACATATATACAATCCGTATATACAAACAATAAATAAATAATATGCGTTGACAATAAAAACTAGAATAGAAGTGTACGCGTTGAATTTCATATCAGTGGAGATTATGGCATGTTTATACTCTCGCTTTCTTTTGGCGATATTTATGTACTTTTCACTTTCATTATCAGCTCTTATCGTATCGTAGGCATATAGTATTTATACATACATATACATGAACGTACGTGACGCAGATGTAGGTATGCTTAAGTAGATATTGTGTTTAAAGTGAAGCAGATTTATAATTGATTAAATTATGGAGAACAATTGGACAAGAAAACCTCCGACTGATTTGACGTTTATAAATTCCTCCGACCCTTTGGGGGAATTTTATTTGCCATTTGGCCAGCTATGCCCCGAATCACAGCCATATGTGGTCAGAGACAGCCATAATTTTTAATAAGTTTCTATCCGTTTAGGGCGTCTAAATTCTTATGACAGCTACTCGTCACATTTGGAAGACTATTTAATCGCAATAGTATATACTTGTAGAATAGACCAGGTGGCACCTTGGTTTTCAAAAATGTTGATGAAGGGAATCAGGAAATCAGGACGTTCATAAAAAGAGGCCCCTGTTTCTTTGCATTTTAAATTTCTTATTTATATTGAAATACATATTTTACATAGTTTGGTTTACGGAATAGTTCTTGTAATTACCTGAGCTGACGAACGCACCACATCTCGAGCCTAATTACAAAGGGTCCTCAAATCGCACACACGTGCTCTGCGACCGATGTACGAGTACTCATACCTACTGGTCCTATCCCGTCTATCCCTTTACTTTATACTCTGTATCCCGATCTACTTAAATTCGCTGCCATTTCGTAATTGCCTGCCTGAAGGTCTGCAACATGCATAAGTCAAGTGGCTGGCGGTGCCGTAAGCCCTCCTGTCTAGCATCCTTTGGCAAATATGTATGAAGTGATGGGCACTTGAACACAGTCGATGGTCTATTGATAGTTTTATGGGTTTTACCCGGGAAAAATCCCATTTTAATGATGCCATTCTGTCTGTGCTCAAGTTTTTGGGATTTCGCACAGGTAAGTGAATTGCTTCGCTAAGCAACTGAAAAACTCCATTGATTTTGAACAAGTCATTAAGGTGCCTTAAATCTTGTCTAGTAGCTGCCGACGATATTGCCAACGATTACGTTTACAACAAGAACAAAATATATAGTACACACTACGAGTAAAGAAAACAGCTGCTCAGTGCAAATACCCACGACCAGGCAACGACCATGATATAAGAATGTTGCAAAAACAAAATACATGCAAAAAAAATATAAAAAACGAAAATAAAATATATGTACGAGTACACGCATATTGAAGACAGCAACGGCGACTTCAGGCAGCCACAATCAGCGATTCAGAAGTGATGGCCAGCTCGACAGAACGACAGACAAATTTTCGGACCAGAACAGAGAGCAACATAAAAAAGAATCATGCAGAGCAGACTAAATGATACCCTGCTCCAATTAATTCTGTTTTTACACGGTAGATTGGTTCCAGAAACAACCGTCCAAAAAAAGACATTGATCATATGCAAAAATAGGTGATTGGTTCCTTATCTCTAAAGAAATATACATATATGCAATTTTTAAATTTCCCACCGTGTTATATCAAAATCGTGTAAAAAAGACCGTGTAAAAAAAGTACTTATACTTGTACTTATATTTCATAAAAGTTTCCAAAAAGTCTTAATGCAAATGACTCTACTGATTTGGTCATTTTTTCCAAATCTTTTGGGGACAACAAATATTCAGAAAATGTTAATTGTTTTAAAGGTATTTATTCAGAAAGAAATAAGCACAGATTTTGGATAGTTTTACTATCTTACATTTAGACGATCTTTGAAGTAAATTCATGGTGTATGCCACGTTCTATAGGGGTCTAGGTTAATCTTATATCGAGTGCCCTTTAAATACTCCAAAGAAAGCAAGTTTTTTACTGAGTTTACTTAAATTTATTCATCACCTTATACAGCAAACTTTTGGATAAATTATATCTTGCGTTCGCAATAAATATGTTCTCCATTTTTAAAACTGATATAAGTTTTTTTATTGAGCCCACACCACAAGTTGTTTGCACTATTTGCATCGTGGATTAAATATAAGTATATCAGAAATCAATATACTTACAAATGCCTTACTCAGTGCAATCTACAGAACACAGATACATATGTCAAGTGTTGACAGTTTTGTATTTATAGCCCACAATAAGAAGACACTATTCGAAAATTGTAAATCAATTCAGAAACAATCACAATTTGTTGTGTGGAGACAGTCATGAGTTTGTAGGCAAACCTTCATATGCACCGACTACTCTACTTTAGTTCAATGACGTTATTATTTCTGTAATAAAAAATGTTGGATGGTGTTTAAGAAAATCAATGAACTCATTGGGTGCAGGGCACTTTCAAGAACCAAACAGCAAAGAGCAGAACGTGAAGCACATTCACAGCATAGTTTCGTTGGCGACGCAAGTCTGCGATCGTCGACGCCAATATTGTTGTTGTTGTTGCTGCTGCTTAATATAAACTGATTTAATAGACGACGTTACACCGACAATACAAAAGCAGAAAAAGCCACGCCATAGCAGCAACAAGTACGTTGGCGTCGTCTACGTCTACGTCGCCGTCTCCGTCGATGTCGTTGTTGAGCGAAGTGGCAAAGAATGTGTATAAAAGTATCTGCGTGTCAGGCTACAGATACAGATACACTTAAGTATTGTATGTGTACCTTTCCATATACATACATACATATATATATACATATGTGTGTGTGTGTGTGTGTCTGCGCACAGTCGCCAAACTGGCGATTCCCAATCTATCGTCGACTAACTCACGAGGCAGTTGGAGTCGCCAACGTTATTTACACAAAACCAGCCACAACAACATGAACTCATGCTCTGTAGATACAGATACTCGTGCACGCAGAGGGGCAGATACACGTGTATACATACATACATACATACATACAGACAACGACTCATAGTGGAGCCAAAACTAAAAGACAGACGAGCCAAAAAAAAAAAAGAAAAAGAATTATAATCGAATGATAGACATGCGGCAAGAGCAAACAGACAGCAAAGTAAAGTATGAGCAATGTACAGCCATACATACCCTACACATACATACATACAAATACACATATATGTAAGTACTGTGTGTTTCTCCGTCTGTCTGTCTATCTGTCTATCTGTCTGTTAGTGCGTCTGTGGCGCATTGTAGCGATCGCTCGCAAACTATAAGATACTATACGATTTTTTTTTTCGAATTTTGTCTTATTTATTTTTTTGGTTTCTCAGATCTTTCAGTATTTGAATGATCATGACCACAGAGCGAAATAATTGCGCCACACACAATACCACTTAACGGAATAGTTCTTAGTGGACTTGCTTTTGACTTTTGCCGATAACTCTATGTATTAATAAGTCCGCCAACGGGAGAACAACTCCACATACATACCGACATTCCAATATACATAGTGTTGTGTTTTTGATTGCATAGTATACATATGTATATGTATGTATATATTTGTATATTCAAGTTTTTTGTTACTCATAGCTCGATTGCTGCCCACTTTTCAGCTGTGAGTGCGAGTGCGAGTGCGAGCGCTCGTGAGTTGTGCAAATATTAACTGAAAACTGACACTATTACTTTTGGCAGTTTTTGTTTTTGTTGTTGTTATTGCTATTGTGCCTTGTGCCTCTCAAGATGGTCGACTCATGGCAAGCGTTGCGTGTCAACAAATGAGCTATCAAAATACTGTACAAGTAATGGCTCGCATTTAGTTGCGGGACAGCCAACATTTTGGGGTGACTTTAAAAGCAACTTTGCACCCGTATCCATGGAGCTACATACATGCATTTACATATATAAACAAATGTATGTATGTATGTATGTCTGTGTGTGCATGTGCATGCTAAGTACCATATAAGTGTCTGACTTATTAGCTAATCCCGCTAAAGCTATGACGCATTCTAGCCATTATGACATTTAAAATATAAACAAGTAAAAAAGCTAAAGTCGGGTGTCCCGACTTTGAAATACTCTGTACATATGTTTACAATAATTATAGAAAATAAAAAAATTAAGAAAATAAAAAAAAAAATTTGATCGATTTTACCTCTCTCGGTATTCGAACTCACGTAAAGGGTGTATAATTGCACATTTACATAGCAATTGCGTCTGTGTGAGTGTATGTATGCCTATGCGCATCAATTCGTGTCTGTGTAAGCATTTTCGCAGTCAACCAAACAGCAACATCAACAACAGCCGCGGGCAGCGCTTGAGCAGCGCTTGAGCAGCGCT